TGATTTTTGGGCAAGAAACAAAGATGTGCAATTGAAGATTTATCAAAGAGGCTTGAAGAGATTCAAGAACTCATGGCTTCTCCTCTTTTTCTTCATAGATCGAAATTTCAAGTGATATCTTACGATCCAATCATGAATTCTTGTAACTTTGTAATGCTAGACTAGATTTTCGATTGTAATAACTGTTATGAAGTTTTAATATAATTTTAAATATTTTGAAGCTCGATATGTGTTTATTCTTTGATAATTGTTATAGGGTTTAATATTTTTCAAATCCCAGGTCAATAATTGGATTGATGTGTAATTTTTATTGTTATTGAAAGAAATAATAATATAGAGATATCACGATATAATAATTATTGTGAGTTTCGATGGACGATAGAAATATACTACTGCTATACCTTACATGATTTCTATAATTGTTCTAGCGCTTTAATACATGATTCATATTTACATTTTTCACTAAGATATAGAAAGTTCACATAAGATGATATATTTCATTCTTCTCGAAAGAGATTATTAAATAAACTAAAAACATTGAACAACAAGAATAAGTAATTCTTCTCACGGTGTTAAATTGTATTAAAGTGGATTAATAAAAGGGATTCGAAGTCTTAATGAATGTTTAACTAAATATTACAATAGTTTTCGTAGTTACTCATCAAAGTAATTAGTTTAATCAGATAAATATTTATCGGATTGATAATCATGACTTGATTTTTTGATTAGAGTTAATATTAGTTAGGATTAGATTAGATACATAGTTTTTGTGGGACGATACTTTTTTCGAATTTTATTTTATCCCGTCTTCAAGGGAACACAGAGTTTTGGTTAAAAAATTATACCTGATAAGCCAAAATCTAAATAAATAAATAACGAAGAAAGATAAATGAGGCAAAAGAAAGGAAAAAAGTATAACAAAACATAAAAAAGATTGAAAAAATATCTTTCCCTCTTTTTATTAAGTAAGTTCTTGTGTTTATTTAGAGATGAAATTTTGTTTTTTAATTAAAGAAAGGGGGTACAATTATCAGTTATAAACACTCAAATATTACTATTTAAAAGATTAATGATTTAAATACCATGTTTTGAAGATTGGGGAGTGCTATATTGGTCAAAGATTGGGACTTGCTGACCGAAAAAACTTGTTCGATTTGATTCCAAATAAAATTAATTTAGTTCTTAGTTTTAGACAGTGGCGGACCCAGCATTGAAGCTCAGCCCGGGCGAACGTTGACCGGTCAACGTCGACAATCGGCTATCATCTTCTCCATTAATTTTTTTCACTTATCCCTAATTTCTTAAAAACCTAAATTCCCAAAGTACAATTCACAAATCAAAATTAACGCAAATTAGATTCACAATTTCATCGTGTACGTATATTAAATATTCTCAAATTCACAAATTCTCTATTTTCATAAATCATAAACCTTAACATTCAACTAAATATTACTATTTAAAAGATTAATAATTTAAATACCATGTTTTGAAGATTGGGGAGTGCTATATTGGTCAAAGATTGGGACTTTTGCTGACCGAAAAAACTTGTTCGATTTGATTCCAAATAAAATTAATTTAGATCTTAGTTTTAGAGTCTATTATCAAATGATTTTGGTATGGTTTTTCCGGCTGGTCGGGCCTGGAACCCGGTGACCCGGGCTCTTGTCCGGGCCGGTCAAAAGTAATTTATTCAAATGAAATGACCAGTTTGACCAAGTTTATGTTAAATTGCCGGCCAAATTGACAGGTTTGACCGGGTTTCAAAATTTAAAGAATTGAACCTTGATCTCTAAATAAATGATTGATTCCTCACCACCAGAACAAGTATAATTTATTTATAGTTTTCTAAAAGTATTTTTTAAAAATTTACATTCCCACATTTTACTTTATTTTATAGACGTACAAATAATTAGTGACAATTGATAAATGACTTAAAAATTTTAATTTTCCCTAAAAAATAAATAAATTATACTGTAAATTGTTTTTAGAGTAATTATCCTGGGTCAATGTTCGGATCGAGTCTAATAACTACGGATTTTTCACTAATAGTTTTAAAATTGAATTTTAATCGTGTTTCATACTTTATATGAATTTACATGAATTGATACGTACACAGAACAATCAACAATTGTTGCTTGAAATAAAAACCGTGAAAGTGAAAAAATAGTGTTACACTATAATTACATAGATCCAGAGATTTGAAGATCTCATTTCATAAATCATAGATCATGTTTACTAATTCAAAAATCAGATGTTTTGTTAATTAATATATTATTATTAGAAATTAATTATATATCCACTTTCCCTGTATACTCTCTTTCTCTCCACTCTCTGGGCCCTAATTAATCAAAATCAATTTCTCTTTAAATTACCCCATTTCTCCACTGCAAATGACCCTTCCCACAATTTGAACTCAAGAAATATTAATCTCAAGGCAGCCCAAGATGTGGAGACCTTGAATTCTAAATATTTGTTAGTAATTGTTAAATTGTTACTTTTGCAGGATGATGACAGTTATTTGAGAGTGGTACTGAATTGATTTATATTTTCAGTGGGACAGTGGTGTAGCGCCGCTCCGACGAGGTGCTATGGAATTGTTGAGGAGTTGCTGAACTGGTTTATATTTTTCGATCTACCTTCTCTCTCTTCTTTTTTCTCCATTCTCTCACTTCGACACCGCTAGCACTTCGCTGTGAACACCACTTCATCTCCTTCGTGCCATCGTCGTTTCTCTCTTTTTTTTTTCGTCTTCTGCATCTGTTTCTGGTTGGTATGGTGGTGGTAGTGCGGTGGTTTGGGGATTTTCCGCCGGTGGTTGGGTTCTTTCTGTGAGTATGGTAGTTTTGGAAGAAATCCTCGATTTTAGTGGTGGTGGTCGATTGGAGTTGCAGGTGGAGGTCGTATGTGGTGTTGGAGCAGGCATTTTTGGAAGGAGGGGGGAGGGGGGAGCATTTTCGGTGGTGTTGGTGGTGCATTTCTGTTGTTGGAGACGGTGGTGCGTTTCTGTGTTGGTGGTGGTGGTCACAAATGATTTGATTGATTGTGACAATAAATTGGTAAGTGTATGACTGATAAATAATATGTGACTCATGAAATAGATAAATTGTGACCAATAAATAATGTGTTACCTAAAAAATTATTAATTTGTAACCAATACTTTGATAAACTGTGACTTAAATACAATTTATGATCAATTAATTTGATATTTTGTGACCATAAAATAAATTGTGACTTATAAAATTTGTGATTTGTGATTAATAAATAATATGTGATTATTAATTTGATATATTTATGATCGATGAATAAATTATGACGGATAAATTTTTGATTTGTGACCGATGAACAAATTGTGATTTATAAATATTTTGAATTGTGACCGTAAAATAATTTGTGACATATAAAAATTGTGATTTGTGAGCAATGTCACCAATTATATGAAATCTGTGATATTAATATATTTAATTAATTAATTTATAAATAAAATTAAAAAAATTCCAAGATTTGAAATTTTAAACTTAGTTTCTTAAATTTGAAATTGGTAAAACTTAACCTCTTAGTTATGAAATCTTCCCATTAATATTTGAAGCATGAGAAATCTGACTGAAAATAACCAAAATCAATCAGTCGCAGCCCAATCAAACTCATTTATTACAAATAGAACCAATGATTTCTTTTTTACAATTCTTAATAAGAAGCTATTTTTATAATTTTCAATAGTAATTGATCTAATTCAATTCTCAATTCGTGCCTGTTTGGATTTCGATTACAATGAAAAACAGTAATGTATAACGTTAAATCAAAAAGCACTTTATTCCCAAATCTTGGCAAACTCATTACTTCAAATAATGTGTGCATTCATTTCAATATTGATATCATATTTTTTAAATTTAAACAAATATTTTAAAACGAAGCACACCCACTCATATTTGATACAATTTTATATTAAATACTAAAATTTAAATAGAAAATAACTAATGGAGTGAAATGTCGTGAACGGCAAAACACACAAAAATCCATTGATTTTACGAACATATATTAATCAAGCATTCATTGATTCGCAAATGAAACGTCGAAAATTTGATATATTCTTCATAAAATACTCAAATTTTATTTAAATTCAACTAGCATGCCATCCATCTCCTTGTAACAAATGACGAATCCACATGGGGTCATGTAGAGGTCATTGAACCCACAATTTTTATTTATTTATATTAAAAAAAACCTTATTTTTCTTTTCAAAATTCATACATCTCTGTCCACTCTTTTAAACATTATATAAGAGGATTTCAAATTTGGAAGCCCTTACTTTCTTATCTAATCTCCACGACCTACGGTTTTTCCACAACCAATTAATTTTTCATTTTTCACTCATCTCGTTAGCATTTACGTCATCCACCTCTTGAGTCTCTTCTCCACCTCAATGTCAATGGCTCAATTTCATTTTGTTTTTAATGGAATAGTGAGAGTTTGCCTATTTGTTAATTGAAATATATTATCGGAATTGTTATTGAAATATTGTGTCCATCGAAATTGATAGTTTTGTGAGGGATGTATTGAAGACTATATATTTAATAATATTGATAACAAAGTATGAAAATGTATAGACAATAAATATTCTTTTTATTTATTTGGGAACAAAGTAATTTTATTCAGCAACCTCACCAGATGCAAAAACATTGTTTAGGAATTAATATGCATAAATCATATTAAGTTTCCAATTATTTTGAAAATATATTTTTTCATCTAAATTGTTTTTTAATTAATATTATATGTAAACTTGAATTTTTTTTAAAATATATTTTTATTAAAATACTATTCTTTGGAACTCTATCACTAATTTCAGTATAATAATTTTCTAATTACTGTAATTATTAACGTTTATTTGTTCACTGCCCATACCCATACACACGCCCACTCAGGAATGTCTTCAACACGCGCCTTCGCACTCAAAAATACTTAAAACACACACTCGTACTCTCACTGTACCCAAAATGACAACAATGGAAGTCCTTCTCTTCCTCTTCTTCCCCGTCACCGTTTTCTCGGATTTATCCGTTGATAGATCCGCCCTTTTGGCCCTACGAGCCTCCGTAGGTGGTCGCACTCTCTTTTGGAACACCACCCTAACCACCCCATGCAACTGGCCAGGCGTCCTATGTGAAAACGATCGAGTAACCGTGCTCCGCCTCCCCGCCGCCTCCCTCTCCGGCGTCATACCGCCAAATACCCTATCTAATATCACTCTCCTCCGCACTCTCAGCCTCCGTCTCAACCACCTCTCCGGCCTGCTACCCTCTGACCTCTCCCATCTCTCTCGACTCCGCAATCTTTACCTTCAGGGGAACCAGTTTTCGGGCCCTGTGCCGGAATTCATCTTCTCTGTTCATGGTGTCGTGCGCTTGAATCTTGCGCAAAACAATTTTTCTGGAGAAATCCCATCTGGGTTTAACAACTTGACGCGGTTGAAGACTCTTTATTTGGAGAACAATGGGTTTACTGGGGTTCTGCCGGAGCTTGAACTCCCAAATCTTGAGCAGTTCAATGTGTCTTTTAATAGTTTAAATGGTTCTGTGCCGAAAGGGCTTGAAGGGAAGCCTAAAAGTGCTTTTTTGGGGAATTCTTTCTGTGGGAAGCCTCTTGATAATGCTTGCGCTGATTCTGTGAGTCCAAAGGGTGTTAAAATTTCAGGGAAAAGTAGTGAAAAGGGGTTGTCTGGAGGTGCAATTGCTGGGATTGTAATTGGATCTGTTGTTGGCTTACTTTTATTGTTGCTTGTGTTGTTTATATTGCTGAGGAAGCGGAGTGGGAACAATGCGAGGTCTGTAGATATGCCGGAGATTAAGAATCAAGAAACTGAGGCGGGCGAAAAGTCAGGTGTGGAGGCAGAGAATGCTGATGTGATTTCGGCTGCAGCAATTCCATCTCATTGGGAAAATAGAACGAATGCAGCTGCCAAGAAACTGGTGTTTTTTGGGAACACTTCGAGGATGTTTGATTTGGAGGAGTTGTTGAGAGCTTCTGCCGAGGTTTTGGGGAAGGGAACAGTTGGAACTACCTACAAGGCGGTTATGGAAGTCGGCGCTATGGTGGTTGTGAAAAGGTTGAAGGATGTTACTTTTTCAGAGAAGGAGTTCAGGGAGAAAATTGAATGGATGGGAGTCATGAATCATGAGAATTTGGTACCTCTCAGGGCTTATTATTACAGCAGGGAGGAGAAGCTTCTTGTCTATGATTATATCCCAATGGGGAGCTTGTCTGCACTTCTTCATGGTGAGTGACATTTTACTTTGTTCTGTTTCGTTACATATACATTTTATTTATAGCGCTTTACATTTTGATGATAGAACAATTGTGAATATAATCGCTAATTGCCTTATTTGTTCTTTCTCCAGCTACTTTTTTGGGGGCATCAGTATATATATGAATTTTGATTGTTATATTTATGTTCAGTTCTTTGTGGAGTAAAGGAATCTGAAGATGGATTAGAATTGATTATATAATCAAGACCGTTTTGGGGGTTGCTTGGTAGTAATATGTATTTGTGTTTTTTTGTTTGAGACGCCCTCTACTTTTTCCATGGAAAATCTTAATTTTAATTATACACATTAGTTGGCTTCTGTATTTTATATGCTTATTGCTGATGTAGGACTATGGTAGATAATTACCAGAAATCAAGTTTGTCAACTTGCTTCTGTAAAGTTGGTGAGATTCGTCTGTCTTCTTTTAATCCGAAAAGGGACCTCTGCAATTATAGACGTGATTCTGTATTTGTATGGTTTTAACTAGAGTTGACCCGTTCATTTTGATTCCCAAATTCATCAGTTATCATTTCTATTTTTAGTTAGATGTGAGTTGAAGTTTTCATTTTCCCCCTTAGCGACGCGACATATACACAGAGTGCTTTTGATTTTATTTGAACAATTCTAAGAAAAATGAAGTAAATCAAGTCATAAAAAAAAAATAAAAAAAAATGAAGTTTTGATTCGTTCATCAAGTCTTCACGGTTTGTGCAATTGTGTTCGATGAATTATAGCATAAATTTTATGTTCCACTTCTAAAGTGCCCATGTATATTGCTTCACTTTCGTGCATAATCTGTCTGGTCTGATTGGCTTTCATTATCACTTTCATCTTCTCCTGTCCAGGAAACAAAGGAGCTGGCAGGACACCGTTGAATTGGGAAGCCTGGTTCGGCATTGCCCTTGGAGCTGCCCGTGGCATTGAATACCTGCATTCGCAAAGTCCCAATATCTCCCATGGAAACATCAAATCGTCCAATATTCTCCTCACTAGGTCCTATAAGGCACAAGTTTCAGATTTTGGACTAAACCACCTGGTTGCACCTCCATCCTCTCCCACCCAAGTTGCTGGATATCGTGCACCAGAAGTGACTGACACTCGTAGAGTCTCTCAAAAGGCCGACGTTTATAGCTTTGGCGTGGTGGTCCTGGAGCTTCTTACAGGGAAGGCACCCACTCATGCCCTCCTGAATGAGGAAGGCGTTGACTTGCCAAGATGGGTTCAGTCAGTGGTTCAAGAGAAGTGGACTTCTGAAGTTTTTGATCTTGACCTCCTCAGGTACCAGAATGTTGAAGAGGAAATGGTGCAACTCTTGCAAGTTGCAGTCGACTGCACCGCTCAGTACCCCGACCAGCGCCCTTCAATTTCTGAAGTTGCAAGGCGGATTGAAGATCTCCACCCCTCAAGCTTACCATATGATCAAGAACAGTCTGATCATGTGAGTGAAGCACAATGAAGATCCATTTCGTGCCGCAATGACAATTTAATGAGACCAGCTGCTGTATTTGTTTCGTTAATTTGAGCCTTGATTTTTTTTTTTTCCTAGAAAAAAAATAAGGAAAAAAAAAAAAAAACTCATCTTGTTTCCTGAACTCCTACTGTAGTAGAATTTCCTTTTTTTTTTTTAACTTTGGGGGGTCAATATTAGGTCCATTTGTTCTGGTTGGATGGAATATGGTGTTTGTAATTATTATCTCAGCTTTTACTTTTTCTTTATGAACCAACTTTTTTTATGCTGTTTTCTTTGAACTTGTATTTATTGATATTATTTTGTGCTGTAATTTGTGGTTTGAGTAGTTGAAACTCGCTTGTACTTGGAAATGCTTGGTTTTCAGTAGTTAACAACTTTTACAATTTTTTTTCTTGGAAGTTGATTTACTTCTTTTATAGGAATTTTTGGTGGACGATATCAACCTTTTTACATGATGGATATTTTATGCATGGTGGTGCATAGCCATTTTTAGTTAATGGACTCAGTTTGCTAATTAGCAATGCGGATGTACCTTTCTATAACTTTCTAGGCTGCAGAAGTTTGTGGCAATAACATGTTTGTGATTCTCTTGAATGTTACACGCGCACACACGCTACATTGATGTATTCAACGAGTTCGTAGTCTTGGCTGATAGGTTCAAGTAATCTTTTTAATATCATGATATAATTCTTGGTCTTCAAGAAGGAATTCCAAGTATGAGTCATTAGCTTGCATTGTGTAAGTCTGTGCCCTTTGTGGACATTGTCCGCCACTCCTACTAATTGAATGGTCAGTGTTTAGATCGCGTTGACGTGGACAATAAGTTGTTGGTGACCTTGTGAAGTCATTTTTGTGATGATTTGACAGACTAATTAGTTGCTGCACGAACTCAATAGTCAATAAAGTCTTCCTCAAAGAACTCCAACGAACTCACATTAGTTCTCGACAATATTGACTTGTTAAGTCTAGATCGTTAATATGTTTATAATGAATCTACATCGACTAGGCACAAAATAATTTTCAGCTTAAACCGCCATTACTGATGCAAACAAATGCTGCATTGAGCTGAATATGACAGCTATCTGCAATTTTCACAGATAAAACAAAGTTGTTGGGGGATAGAAAAAGTGTAGTGAAAATATAGAATAGAAAAGGGACATGGATTTGGTGGTCCACAAAACTAATTTTGATTCAAATTTAGCAGATAAAACAATATCATTTTATTGTAGTGGTCCTGATTTGATTTTTCAAATTTTTCTTGGCTTGCAAACTTTACCTAATTTAAAAATCATCCTCGAAGGCAAATAAGAGGTTTGGCTAGAGGTGTAAAACTAGCTAAGTCATCTCTACAAATCTATCAACGCCGACATGGTCTTTGTTGAATCAAGCAAGCCAACAGACCCCGCACGCACGCACGCACGCACGCATGGCCGACACTTTGGAACTCCTAAACTTGGCTATGACATAATACAATATTAGAAACTACATTGGTTCACCAATTACTATGAATTTGCCATAGAATTTTCTTTTGAATAAGTATTTGAATATTGAGTGCATGACTGATTAAACGCAAATATATGGTACATCCCTGATTCTTATTCAGTCGTATCTAGCCATTCAATTCTTTCGCACAAAAGTTTTGTAGCAATAATTGTTTTTATCATGGTGACAACAATTTTACTTGCATATTATCTCTACAATTTTGTCTACAGAAACATAGTAATCTGTTTTAAATTACGATATTTTATTAAGTGGGACTTTATGTTTGATTTGGTTTGAAAATAAGGACTAAAAAGTGAAATTTATAACTAGATTTTTTTAATGAATTGAAGATTAAGAAAAGTAATAAATTTTCTTCAATTGTTGGATTCATTATCAAGAATAAGCGACTTGTTGATTGCATGTTAATTTTCAGTTCTTTCACTTTTCTACATCACATCAATAATATTAGAACATCGTTAAGATTAGAATACGGAAGCGGCAGAAATTCTCTTTACTAACTGAAATTGGAAAAATGTTTTGAAAATGGCCAGAGTACCAATCCCCTTGACGTGACTAAAATGAGTCAAACGCCATAGAAACCCCATTTCTATCTATCCAATTGATATCCTCGTCCTCTTTACTCCGACTACTAGAGATTTTGACATCCAGAATGCAATTTTCGCCCCTCTTAATATGGTACTCTATTGAAACAATATTACTGCTCAATGCCATTATCCTCTAGATTTATTGCGTCTAATTTTGGCACATACAATATGGCTCACACTGCGTTGGAAATGTATGTTTTTGCAATGTGTGAAGTTGAATGTTGTTCAGTTCATTATAAAATTTCTTTCAATTTTGGGTTTCATTTATATTATAATATTATGGTTGAAACATTAATCTACACGTTCGACGATACTGCCTTGACAATACTCTATATATGGCCTCATGCAGGTTGTCGTAGTAGAATGCGACTGTCATTACATGTTTATGTATATTGATAAGTGCATTTTACACACCTGTTCGAGGCCTAAAATATCGATATTTGGCAATTCTTTTGATAAAAATATACCTCAAATTGTTGTATTTTATGTTATATAGGTTAAACTCAATGGTTGAACGATGAATTGGAAGAAACAAAAGAAAATCAAGGGAAAATGACAAAGTCCAAAGTTTGAGGACAAAATTGCAAATTCAATAGTTAATTCGGACCACGAGATGATACTTTGAAGATTGATAGAAGACAATTGGATGGAATTAGAACTCAAAAAGGAATGAAATATGATCAAAATATTATCACAATCAATGTTCAATCACACAAGTTATATTCCAGACTGTTATCCGAATGTTAATACCCATTTTTGGCACTGTAAACGTCCAAATTGGAAAAATTATATTTCTAGAAAAGTTGTAACCCTTTGAGCCATATTTCCAACACAATTTGAATCTCCCCAATCGAATATTGAGAGTGAAAGTTATGGCCAAAATATTGACTGCTGTGCAGAGACAAAAAAATCCGCGCGAGCTAATGAAACTTTCCTTATTCGATTGGAACTTTTTTGGAAACCAAATTGGATGTGATTTTCAACCAATTTTTGACTCATACGAATACATAACAACAGAATACATGAAGAAGGAGATGGGAGAAGACTTTTGAAAGAAGAAAAGATGCAAGAATGAGAAGATCAACTCCAAGAATACGAAGATCCAATTCAAGAATCGAATTGGTGATATCGTTCTTTATTTATTTTTCTGATTTTCTTCTTCCCACCATCCTATGCTAGATTAATTCTGTACTAGGGTTAGGTGAATTATGTAATATGATTTTTGTTACTTTGTTTTACATTCTTGACAAGCAAAAATACGTTTTGAGATATTTGAATGATTTATATGAATTTATTTTTCTCCACAATTATATGCACGAATGATTGTGTGAGTTTGGTGGCTTATTTCATGCATTCTAAAGAAGGGGAATATGTTCAATATATATAAATTATCATAGGGTCCGATAGGGGATAAAAAATATACCGTTATGCCTTATGTGAATCTTTAAGTGTTCATAAAAACTCATGCATTTTTGTATGTTTGCATTCGTCATAGATATATAGTTAGATCACATATTTGAATATGTTTAACTCTACTTGAGAGAGATTATGAAATAATTCAGGAGCATGGAGTCTTCAATATTTCAACAGTGTATCAAAGAGTAGAACTAGGTTTAAAATGAATATTACATAGGGATTCGTGATCCTAGTACATTTATATACATTAGAAAACACTTCAATTTACATTCATCGTCAATTTGCATTTAGCTAGTTAATTCATTCATACTTGCATATTGCTAATTAATTTAGTTATAATTTCATCAAAACAAACATTCTCATTTTTATAGTTTCGGTTAAGGTCACGGTAATTAAAATTAGAACTAATCAATCTTCGTGGGAACGATATTCGGATTCAAAAAGTCCACTTTATTGCTTGTAACGAATCGTACACTTGCGATGATTTTAATTCGACATATATTCGTGAACATATATTGTCAACTGTGCTGATCATTTTGTGGTGGTATGAGGTTAGCATTTGAGACGGTGAACACATGCGACTTTTCACATGCTAAAATGAAATTCTGCAAATTGTGCTTCATGTGCTATACAAATTGTTTGGAATAGGGTTTATCACAAATTTTATCCATGCAGTCGGATATTCACTGGATGATCTATTTTTGACGCAGTTGAAAGAAAGTTGTACATATTCCGCGCCTTTGATACTAAAGAGCACAATGTAATGAGCAACACTTGCTAATTAAATCAAATCGAATTGACTTCACAAAATTTATCGAGCTTAATGTAATGTGTTTATTCTAATCCAATGCATTTTCATTGTCTGATCATGTATTGCAATATGTCAGTATAGCCTGAACTACACTAGAAAACTTGTCAATATCAAATTAACTGTTTTCAATGTTCGGTTGCATTATACATAGAGCTTAAACACTGGTTAGCAAGGAATGTCACTTCGACGGTAAAATCAAAGAATTATTGACAACCTTCAAAGGTATGAATATGCCACAAATAAGTACAAACTTGGATTCATCATGTGTTATATTGTGTAGTGTTGGCTCCAAAAATCAATGATCTGGTTGACTAGATGGTGCTGGCATTGGTTGAAAACGAAAAGATATTCGAAGTATACCCATAGAGACACAAGTCCTACGACCTTCTCTAGTACTCTATATTGCGAAGATATTGAAGTGAGGAAGTCGAAAAACTTCTTAGCAAACCAAGAAAACCATACAAATACACGCTCTTAGGGTTCCACAGGCATTGCAAGTACATGTTCATTGTCTAACGATGAATTTCACTTTAGCCAATTTGAGCCGCTATCTCTGGGTTATATCATTGCAACTTCATATTACAATCCTGTAGATATGGGCCTACGAGGCTATCCCACTGCTTAGGAAACATTTCGTGAGGAAACTCGAAGACAAGTGTCAAAGGCCCCAC